GTGCCACACCCTCCACTAGGCGCTTTCCTTGTGTAAGGCCTTGCTCTGGTAACCTTAGAAGACAGGTGTTGTTATTGTTACTATTATTACTGTCTTTTTATGTGTGAGACACTGAGTATTAGAAGGGTTAGCTAATGGGTCCAGGATCGCACACTCACAACTAGTAAGTAAACAGTGTGTCCGGGATGTGAGCCTAACAGCCTGGCTTCTGAGCTGGGGTGAATCTTACCTACGCTCAGAGCCAGACCCCAGTGCATGGCTTGCCCAGTGCCCCCAACCTAAGGAGGCTTTCAGAGATCCTCCAACCTCCCTTAAAATGATGGCCACAAACCATGGACCTAACTAAATTCACATTGAATTTGCTTAGTTCTTGTCAAAGATTTGGGTCCTTAGTGAAGCTCTGAGGAGCCAGTGAATCCACGTCCTTTGAGAACCTGCCTAATACAGGTTCACGGTGTCCACCACGTCCTTCCAGTGAAGAGGCCTGTTTGCCCCTGTTTAACCCAGTGATTTCGGCGTGTGCTGCTCACAGGACTGTGCCTCTGGTAGGGCTTGTTAATGGGCTGCAGAATGAGCATTCCTTTGGGACATTCTTAAAGGCTAATAATTCCCTGTATAACCACTCATTCTGAAAAAAAGATTTCTTCATTCAAGTTTAAAGAAGTGAAGAGCAAATCCATGACCACAAGGAGTTTTTACTTGAGCCATTGCTTTTCTTCTTTTAGGGGTTCGTACGTGATTTCTCTGCCTCCTGGACGATCTTGACTGAGACAAGGCTTTCTGCATTTGTACTCATCCACTAAAACTAGTGAATTTAGAATTCAACTACATACATTGTTTAAAGCTGATTTATTGAGTGTCCATTGTATTCCATAACTAGAATTTACAAAGGATAATTTAAGATTTGGAGATCAAAACTCAGACATTCCTGGACTAGATGACTTATAACTTACTACCAGGCCAGATAATTTTTAATTCATTTTCAATTTTTAATTTTATTTCTCATTTTGTTCATAACTATAGGCTTCAGTAACACGCTAGGCTTCAACTTGAGGAATAGTTTTTAATAATTTTTAGATCTTTGTCCTGGGGTATAACTGGGTGTTTGGAGTTCACCATCCTCTGTTTTAACCTTTAGTTTTCTGAAGGCTTTGATGGATGTTTTAATTAATTGTTTGAGCTTGTGTGACAAATATCCATTATCCTACCAGTATTCTGAGCAAACCTAAATTAATGGCACATGCTGAACGTACAACTAACTTGTGAAATAAGCAGTGTAGGGATTTTCTCTGCCATGTGCAGATTTAACAGACAAGGCTGTTCAAATGAGCTTCAGATTTTGTCTGGTTCCACGATCAATCAGCACCACCCAAAATCTTTGGTCAACTTCTAGTTTAATCAAAGACTTGGATTTTCAGATCAAGAAATATTTCTCAAACACGTGGAACTAAGATTTTTAGTTTTACCCTGTCATCCTAAGAAGCCAAGCCTATCAAACCCATTTCTCCTTTTTGTTTATTTCCTTTTAATTACTCAACGTTTAAATAAAATGTGGTGGTCACTTGGGAATTTTATAAGGTGGTCAAAGGCATGTGATCGAGTTGATGGTTTTCCCTGTATGTCATGCTAGAGTGAGGGCAGCGGTGGGGAGAGGGGGAGGGACTCGCACGACCACCAGGTCAGCCCCACGCCCTCCCGGCCCCTGTGTCTCCGTGTCTGCCGACACTCCAGACTCACCCCAATTTCAGGTCGCTCAGATGCCCAGGAAGTCGATGGAGTGCTTCCTGTTGGGTAAGCACTGTCTTCTGGGCTGGCCCTTCTCCAAGAATGAGCTCGATTCCCACCTTATCCGGAAGTCTTCCCTGGCTTCTCTCAGGAGATGCACCTGCCCCCTGACCCGCGGGTGCACTGCTAGCTGCGCCTGCTCGTTATAATTACGCCCTATTTATGTACTTCCTGTTTCCTTGAGAGCATCCCCAGTCGCTGGCACCAGAAGCAGTATCTTTTCACCTCTTTGCCCCAAAGCCAAACAGACTCCCGCACACGGGAGGCCCTCAGTAAGGCTCATTTGAAAGAACAAGCAATATTTTTAAAAGTAAAATGATATTTTCAAGGATGGATCCCTGAGTGAATTCAAGCCAAATCTCTACAAAAACAAGATGCGTGAGATATCACATTACGTTGCTGGGGAACAGTTTTTGTAACAGCGAATGTAATTGTAGAAGTTAAATTTCCGTCATGAAAGATCTGAATTGCTTCTGCTCTGAAATTAGAAAGTTACAAGAAAAGGTCTTTGAACCCAAAAAAGGGGTTCTTTTCTCATGCAGGTCACTGTCACCTGCTCGCCTGAGGCTGCTAAGGTGGTTTTTCTGAAGGGGTTAAAATGTTCACAGCTGGCACGGATGAGCGGATAGGAGTTTCCATTAACAACTTGAGGTGTGCATAAGAGAATTAAATGTCAGTTTCTTTGCTGGCAAACACTTTTTAATCAAATCCATTAGAATGAATGTTCAAGGGAGAAACCTGAGAGAGCCCTAGGAAAAAGCTTTATATATATTTTCAACTTTTGGCTATCAGACGAATAAACATTGGTTTTATGAGTATTTCATCTGGATACAGTAAAAACCTTATTTTATATCGACTACTTTGGCATAAATAATTACTGTGTTGCAATTTTATGTTAACCCTGCATTGTCTGGTCTCAGGACTGCAGTACAATTACTATTTAGATAAATTAAATCAGTGGGGACGTATGCCTGGGGAACACCAAAAGTGTCGTCGTTGTAAATAAACAAGTGTGGCCTGTACTTGTTCCTTGATTAAAGGGAAATGGAAAACAGGAACTGTCAAAACTGACAGGGACCTCAAGACGGAACGGGCTGATTTAGGATCTGCTGAAAGCCAGGCACGTTGCCTACCTGGTCACGCCTGCCATCTGACCTGCTTAGTTTTAGGAGCTGCATGCTTGATTGCTCTTTGAAGAAAGAAGGAAAGCCCAGAAGGATGGCTTCTCCAAGGAAGATGTAACATCTTTCCTGGAAGATGCAGAAATGTTTAACGAGGCCAGCGCCTGTGGTTGTGGCACACGTGCGTCTCCAATGTGGAGGACCGACACCTGGCGGCCACCTCACTTAGTGGGGGGTCTTTCTTTGCAGCCTGAGGCCTTTCTGCTATAACCCACCTACCGTGTGTGGTTCTACTCTGTAGGATGTTGGGTGGCAGAAAATTGCATCATGTTCATTTGTAGTCCCAGCATCTAAAACAGTGTAGTGTGTGTATACAAACACACACGCCCACATTTATTTATTCACAGTACACTTAGGGCAGTAGAGTGTATACAGTGTAGCACACATATGCTACATATATGCTGTCGAATATATTTACTAAATGTTTTGCTTGAGTGAATCGAATGGGAGAGTTGAACTGATACCATAATCTCATTAAAAGTTGTTAATGTCATTTCCTCACTTTTTTTGCGTCTGAGAATTATCTCTGGTTGTTTAATTTTTTTACCACGTTCTCCAAAACAATAAACTTGTGTTTTCTCTGTCTTCTTTTAGTGGAGAAAGAGGATCTGGAAAGTCCGAAGCCAGCAAACAGATAACGAGACACCTCACCTGTAGGTCTGGCGCCAGCAGGCCTATGTTCGATTCCAAATTTAAACACGTAAGTTTCCTCTTTGGGTTGGGAATATGGGGAGGCCAGAAGAATTTTAAATTATCTGCAGTAACACTTGCTTTTGTTTGAAGACACCTTATTTGCCTACTTCATGGTCCTAAAATACTGTCTGGGGTCAGTGAGGAACCATTACAGCCTATTTCAGCAGCCAAGGGAAAGGCCAGATTTCACACGATGGAACTCAGACATGTTGCTCAGGGAGGCGCCTGCGAGTGGGCTGGTTCTCTTGTTTCCACACGGTTCCAGCCTGACTCTGTTCCCTCGAGATCCCATCCAAGGGCACCTGGGTTCCCTCAAGGATGGAGCTGGTTTCTCCTCTGGCCGTGAAGCGCGACTTCCCTGCTCTCCTCTTCTAGCTGAGGCCGCCTTTGAACACGTGTCCCCCCCGCGTCAGGCCGTGGGGTCTCATTGGCTTATTCCTTTACTCAGCCGGTGTCTCAGGTGGCTGCCGGGTTCCTGTGCCTTGATTCATACACACTGCTGTGGAGCCTGGTCCTGGCAGGAGCTCGATTCTATGTGCTGAATGAATGAACACAAGAATAAAATAGCTACTATTTTCACACCTCGGAAACATTTAATTACCCCAGGCTCCCCAGACTCACTGACTCTAATGAAATCACGTACACTTAAGGAGGACAGGCCATTTGTATGTCATCAGGACCCAGTAAGTCCTGGTGAGTGTGTGTGTGATTTACAGAACAACCGCCGTCATGTTCTTGGGCTCTGTCTTAACCTGCTGTTAGTTCAGACAGTGGGAATCTTCTCTCTTCCTTTTTGTAAAAAATAATCTTTTTTTTTTGGCCAAGATTAAGGAAGTCATATTTATCCAAAAATTTTCATTTTCATTGCCTTGGGCCAAAAACCCATTATATTTATGTATCAAAATTATGTTCAGTTCCTTATGTATATAAAAAGAATATAAGTTTTGTTAAAAATAAGTCAACACACTCTGCATGACATTCAAGAAAATGCCCTTGTTATATCATTTCCTTGACAAAAAAAAAATTACACACACGGCAGGCCAAGTTATAGCAGTACACGCTCCCTCGGTGTGAAGTTCAAGTGAGGTCTTGCAAATAGGATGCCGCAGTCTCATTGCAATTATTATGATATTAGATTTACAGGCCTTGCTCCTCCAGGATCTGCCCTGCATGGGCCTTGCCTCACACCTCTTTGCAGACAGACACCTGCATTTCATTCATCAATTTTATATTTAAAAGTGTCTGGTAGCAGTGGAGTAAAAACAGTTGCTGTTAATCTCAGGGCATTCCCTAAAACAATGCCATCTAAAAGTCCAAACAGTAACAATCTAGAAACCTATCATCGCATGATGGAAGCTGTGTAATTTTTGCTCGTTTTTGTGTCCACCTGCCCTTTATATCTTGTAGCTGCAGGTCCGTTATTTCTGCCTCAGTGTGTTTACGTGGCAATATTCTGGGAATTTTACTATCAGATTCCTCATTTAAAAATGAGAGGAGCTTACATTTAATTGACAGATAAATGTTATGTCCTTATACTTTCTACTTTTGAATAAGAAGGCCTTAAAATGAAATCTGCTCATATTCCCAAGCATATGCCTGATTCTGGAGATTTTTCGCTTTACAAAGAATATATGAGCACTCCGTTCCGCATGTGTCTGTGGAATCGTGTGTGTTCACTGATGACTTTATTTCGTAACAGTTTATTAAGCTTGAGCTCTATACTGAGTTCACAACCCTGCAGCACAGCTCAAAGTAATTCATCATTTTGGGTCAACTTGGGAAGAAGAGCAGAGACTTTGTTCAGATATTGCAATATACCGACTAATGACACTTAAGGGTTAGAGAATCTATAGATCAACACGGTTATAAAATAGACTCAGGTTAACTAATAAAATAACAGGGTCTATGGGCTTAATTGTAGTGCCCAGAAATAATAGTCTCTACGTAAGTTAGAGACTGAAACACTCATTTATCAAAACAACCCTTTGAAGAAGAGCAGGCTACGCGCTTTCTAACATGCATTGTAGATTACTTCATGTAAATTGACTTTGCATTTTCGCTTAAGTGAATGCAGTCTAGGCTGCATTTCTTTGGGTAAGATAGCCATAACTCTTCCAAATCAATCAGCATCTGGGAACCAAGGTTATAACGTCAATGCAAATTTCAAGGAAGACCCTTTCTAATTCATTTGTTCGTTTTGTTTATTTCTCATGGCAAATTAAGGACGTCATAACTAAGTGATCTGTAGTCTCAGGTTTGAGTATGTCTTAAACTTCATGCCAGTTATACTATTTTTGGTTTCCATTTAAATTATCGTCCACATGCATTCCCTTCAGTGACAAGACGTTCTTGAAAATTATCCAGCCGCAGCTTTTGCGTAGAAACCCAAGTGAATAAGCTGTACTAAAACACGAACATTGGAAAAATTTATGAATTGACTGTAAATCTTTGTAGCATCACTGGGGTTCCGTGCAATTGTGTACATTTAAGAGGTGGGCTGCTACTTCCCGCATGAAAGAGATTATGTTCAGGAGATGAGCAGAAAAGAACACCCTTGGTACGCAAAGCTCCATGGTGCAAGGCTCTCAGTCCCGTGCAGGGTAAGAGGGCAGGGCCGTTCGCCAGGCAGCCCTGCGAGGAGGGACGCGAGTGAGCTGAGTCAGATGGTGAGACACCCTCTGCGGTGCCACACGGCAGACACGGGGCGTGACACTGCCACGTGATGCCACGTGCAAGCAGACGCATGGTATCTTCCACTGGGAGATACTGGTTGAGTCCAGAACAAACAATTTAGCCCTGGATCTTAGAGAAAAAAGTCATTGAAGGCCATTCTGATGAGCAGTTACCAAAGAATGAATAGCAGAAAAGCCACAGAGACACAAAGGGAAAGACACGAGGGGCGCGTCTGCAGCGCGAATCCTGACACGCCCGGGAGCAGGGGACGCGTTCCTGCTGGTGACGTCCCTGGCGTCATTAAAGATTTATCAATCAGAGATTACTATTTGGAGTATGGGGAAAAACAACAACAACACAAAAATGAGGGGATTTAGGAGGAAGCTGGCCGTCTGTAAGTTCCATGCTGTTGAGATGGGCGCTGCAGAGAGAGGCTGAGCTGGTGGCAGAGGGTGACGCAGAGCCCCGCCCTGAGGGCCAGAGATGAGTTTTGGTCATTTTAATGCGGGAATACACACATTTTAAGGGCCACACAGCTGTGATATTTCTGGATTTTGATCTTACACTTCATTTGTCCTGCCTTGAAAGTCTCCGTAGGCTGGCATCCTGGCTTTGCGGGGGGCTTCGGAGTGCGCGTCACCCAGGGGCGGGGGTTTGAGTCCCGCCCCTGCAGACTCGGCTTGGTCTCCCTGTACGATCTCAGAACAGCTGAGATCAGTTAAGAGGCTGTTGTTCTTGTCCTCGTGTGGGAATTTCAAACTGTGGAAGCAGGGACTTTCCATGCAGTAGGTTTATTGGAAAATAAATATCATGTTTTTGCGGAAAAAAAAAAGCACAAAAAACAATTGCCTGGAACTCTTCACTAATTCTTGCCCAAATGAGTTTCAGCTGTAAGACACGTTCAATTTCTTTTAAGTTACTTAAACAAACTTTTTTGAGCAACTGCTTTCACGCAGCAGAGTGATGGGGCCAGCTTGATTAAGCCATTATTTTTTATTGAGGAGGTTACAAGATTGTACTTTGAGAAAATGCAGTAGGTTAACCACTAACAGGGTAAAAGCGCATCACTGTTAGTGGCAGAACTATTAAAATTTTATAGAAAAAATTTACAATGTAATTAGATACAAATCATGGCAATAAAGACGTGAATCAGTAAATACTGAGGAAATATATACTGACTTCCCTTTGCCTATACTTTTACTTAAAGTTTTATTACCGCACAACATTCTCATGATTTCGTTTTAACGTTAGCAGAACAGTATTAATTTTGCATCTCTCAACATATTTGTTTAGTGCCACCTATTGGCCAAGTGGATAATTACAGATAAAAAACTGATTCTTTCAGTGTAACCAGTGTTTTACTCTTGGATTATGGACCAGCAGAGCACAATGAAAGAATGCCATGTGTTTATATTTTGTCCAGTGGTTTTAGTTTTATATTAGTTTTCTGCCCAATATGTCTTTATTGTTATTTTGATACAGTGATTAAACACAGCCGATTCTGCAAGAGATGGCTTGGGTTTCAGTCCCAGCTTCACTATATACACACTCTTGGGAAACTGACTCAATCTGTCAATCTTCTTTTCTATAAAATGTTGTGAGAATTAAAAGAAGCTACATATACACATATACGCATATACATACTTACATATTTATGTGTATATTCAGTTACATATAATTCACACATGTTTGCGCACACGTATACAGATGGACAGAGAGAGTTCTGGCACACAGTAAGTACAGTATAAATGCTTAAGTGTTCTCTGCTATTACTGACGAAAGCAAAATTAACCCTTGTTATTTGCTGAGTACTTACCATGTGCCAGGCACCAGGCTGAGTGCTTCGTACACCTGACTCTGACAACCAGTGAAAGAACAGAGGAAAATGAGGTTTGGAAATTTATGAAACTTGCTCAGTGTTGCCTAATTTGCCGTTAGCGGAGCTGGACTGTGGGGGTGGCAGCTTCTCACCCCCGAGCACACGCGTGGAACCGTTACCCTGTACTTTCTGCTGGGCCACGTGCCATTAATTATCTTTCATATTCATTTTCTATAATCGTAAAAAGTTAACATACTATCAGATACAACACCAATATAACCAGAAGCAAAAATATTTTAAACATTTTATTCTATTCCTTTTTATGAATTTTTAAACCACTATTTAATGTAATATTACAAAGGTTTAAAATGTGATATAATTACACTATTAATTTTCCATCTTTTTATATTAAATTATTGGGGAAAAAACAAAAACTAGGGCCTATATAAATACTATTTCAATTTTTTTTCAGAAACATTTCTGCCCTCACTACTATCAGCTCACTGTTATGATCTTTAAAATGAAGTTATTATAAAAAGACCTAAATCATAGGGTTTCTGTAAAGAGTCAGTGTTTCTCTCCAAAAGTTCAAACTTCAAAAACAGACAGTTTAATCTATTTCATCATTACCACAATGTTTAGCACTTTGATTTGTGATTAGCATCAGTGTTGTTTTATAATCTTTCAAAATACGAAATACTTGCAGGTGAATTGAATACCTTTTTTAGAGCAGTATCCAGGAAGTTTAAAAAGTAACAGCAGAGTTTTTTATTGTTTAGAATAAAGCTCTCCAGAAGTACTATCATCAGAAATTATCAAGTAGCACCCAGTGTATCAGTGAGGTATTATTGTGCCCCTCTGTGGCTGATGCGGGAACTGCACTTAACGTATCAGTAAGTTGAAAGATACAGAAAAAAACCTTTGAACCATCCAGACTTTCATACTTTGGGGAGAATTGCTTATTCATCATCATTATCACAGGCACACTCAACTGTGAGAGGAAATGACATTTGTTCTGTAATCAACTTCTAAGGAAATATGTTAAGGAAGAGTCTCAGATACCAGGTTGCCCCGAGGAGCTGCGTCAACGGCACTTTCCAGCTGTGACTCCCCGTCTCTGACAGGGAGCTTGTCGCCGTGAGACCCTGGGGCAGAGGGCTTCGCCTGGGGTTCCTACCCCTGCTCCTACGGGGAGGATGGTTGGCTCGAAGCAAAAACAGGGCAGGGGAGGGTTACCCAGCGGCTCGGGTGGGAAAGAGTATGTGGCAAAGTGAAAACGGGGTCCAAAGAAGTGATAAGCAAATGTTTGAGTGAATTTGTTATTTCTAAAAGAAATTCTGACAGTTGCTTAGATTAACTCTAACCCCTCCCTCCAAAGCCGCAGGAGTACCTGTAGTGTTCAGGTTACAAAGACCAAAGGGCGTGTGCTGAGGGGTGTGTGTGTGAAGACGGTGTCATCATTCTCCACTTACTCTGAGGGGAGGGAGTCACGTGCTCAGTGTGTCATCATCTTGTTACCATTGGCTACCATTTGAGAGGGAGGATGCTAGTGGTTTGCAGCTGAGGAAAGAGTGACCTTAAAATCCAGGGCTGAGTTGTGGGAACAGTGGGGAGCCTCTGGGCTCACGGAGTACTCCTGTCTCTTTGCTGTCGCCGCCCAGTTCTATTTAAACAAAAGAGTAGCTCAGTAAATGCTCCCTTTGCTGCAGGTCACATGCATCCTGGAAGCCTTTGGACATGCCAAGACCACGCTTAACGACCTGTCCAGCTGCTTTATTAAGTATTTTGAGCTACAGTTCTGTGAGAGGAGAAAACACTTAACGGGAGGTAAGTGTAAAATTAGCGCGGGGAGAGTTAGGAGCCGCCAGAAGAGGGCAGAGAGACATCAGCGTGGCAGCAACGGTGACTGTCCTGCGTGTGTGCATGTGTGCTCGTGTGCGCGAACGTGTGTGTGTATCTGGGGGTGTCAACATGCCTACCCAAGGCGTCAAGTTATGACTTCTAAAATTATTGTGAATTGAGAAATATTCTTATAAGCAAGATGAACCTTTCAAGACAATTTTTGTATAAGCTGTGTAATATGAAAGCAAACCATTTAGCTGAAATGAACCATACTTGCTGACACAGAAACAAACTCAGGTACACAAAATAAATTATAACTTGACATGTAATTACTTCATACAACACACATTGAGTCCTATTATAAATAAAGCTGAATCTGTATTTTAAATGATTGAAATTAAAAAAAAACATCAAAATAATGACCCAACTAAACCCAAACAGAAATGTTTATTTGATTTAAATATTTAATGTATATGAAAACCTCTAATTTAAAATTCAACTAATTTATTTATTAAAAACATTGTTTTGAAGTACAGTGAATTGCAGTGTGGCAATTTGTGTACAGCAGAATGTCACAATCATGCACATACTCACATATATTCATTTTCATATTCTTTTTCATTAAAGATTATTACAAGATATTGAATATAGTTCCCTGTGCCATATGGAAGAAATTTGTTTTTTAATCTATTTTTATACATAGTTTGCAAATGTCAAATTCCCAAATTTATCCCTTCCCACCCCTTTTCCTCCAGTAACCATAAAATTGTTTACTGTGAATCTGTTTCTGTTTTGTAGATGAGTTCATTAGTGTCTCTTTTTCTTTTTTTTAGATTCCACATTAAGTGATATCATATGGTATTTTTCTTTCTCTTTCTGGCTTACTTCACTTAGAATAAGTCCATCCATGTTGCTGCAAATGGCATTATTTTATTTTTTATGGCTGAGTAGTATTCCATTGTATAAATAAATATACCACAACTTCTTTATCCAGTCCTCTGTTGGTGGACATTTAGATTGCTTCCATGTCTTGGCTATTGTATGTAGCACTGCTATGAACATTGGGTAAAATTCAACTAATTTAGAATTCTCTTAGGATTTTATGTCTTGCAAATCAAAACAGATTATCCATGCAAATTAATAACATGAATAC